GGGGCCGCGGAGGGGACCAACGAGCCCGGTGGTTGTGGCCCACGAGGAGCGCGGCCAAGCTGCTCCTTCCCGCTGCGGGACCTGACAGCAGCAGGGAGGGGTCACAGTCACCTTCACCACCGATGTCACCCACCCGATGCTGCAGCCACGTGCCGTCACACCGGGATGGCCCCGAGTGTCCCTCACCCTGCCCTGCCCTCACCCTTCATCCTCCAGCGATGGACCTTCATCTTCCTGTGATGATCTTCCTCTTCCCGTGATGACCTTCATCCTCCAGTGATGGGCCTTCATCTTCCGGTGATGGACCTTCCATCTCCTGCTGTCCTCCTGCTCCCTCAGGAGCCGGGCACCTTCTCCAGCTCCGGCTGCGAGCGGTGGCTCAAAGCGAGGGCAGACCCTGCAGACAAGGCTGGAGAGCAGGATGGAGGACAAGGCCACTCAGATGCCACCCAAGGTGCCTCCTGTCCCCCATCCCGAGGACATCGCTCTCCACCAGGCTCTGACCCCAGGACAGCAGAGAAGCTCCAGTTCTGTCTTGGCTTGTCCCTGGGCAGGGATGAGTGTCGGGTGGGTGTAAGGGCTGGATGAGCTGGTTTTGGGCAGAAGGTGTCTCTGTCTCCAAAGCCTCTTCTCCAAGGAGAGCTTGGAAGGCGGCAGAGCAGGGAGGAGTCTCCTTCTGCTGGTCCCACCAGGGAAGCTGCTCCGGCAGGGAAGCTCCACAGGCTCCGTGCTCCTGGAAGTAACAGGAGTTACACCCACCACACACCCCACCACCCCCCGGAGAAAGGTCCTCAGAGCAGATGAGGTTTTGAGCCAGCAGCTCAACTCTACAGGAGACCAACGCTGAAGAGCCCCATCGAATAGTTATGGACACAGTGACCTACACAGTGAGATGGTCGTAAATCCATGTTTTACCCATTTTATGCTGCTCTGAGCAGTTACAGAAAGAGAAAACCCAAAAAAGAAGGTAAAGGAGATGAATCCCAGGCAGTGAGAGCAGTCACTGCTCCAGGACAGGCTCAGGAAGGTGACCCCCGAGGAAGCACCACATCTTGTCACCAGCCAGGTCACCTCTGGGAGTCAGAAGAGGGGGGAGAGAGACACGGGGCACCCTCCTGGAGGGGCACAAACCCGTGACGGGACCTCCACGTGCTCCCCACAGCGTGAAGAACACACTTTTCACAGGGCCTTGGAGCCCTGAGGTGAGAGGAGGAGGAACAGCATCCAACCCACCCATCACTGCCACCGACACGCGGGGGGCTCAGAGCAAGACCCCCCCCCCTTCAACCATCTCAAATCCCAGAGCAGTGGTGACAAAGCACAACGTGTTGGGGTGTCCCCCCCAGGTCCCAGGAGCCAATGTGGTCCCAGGGCTGGTGGCCCAAGGACAGCTGATGCTCAGCACATGCCCGGCCACTCCTGTGAAATGTGATTTTTATTTTTCCCCAAGGCTGCCAATCGATTTCTCATGAAAACATAAATTCACCAGGAATTTTTTTTGTAAAAAGAAAAATAATAAAAAAAAATAAAAATGGAGACAGGCTTGTGTTTCTAATCCAAATGTACTTCTCTTTATTCAAACCAGGGGTAATCACTGGTTAGTGCAAAATGCACCTAAACCTTTTTTGCCTGAGGGAAATCTACATCTCGACAAGGCCTCCGTTAACCCCTAACGAAATCCACAGAGGATCAGGAAAAAAAAAAAAAAAGCGTTTGAAGCGACAGATCTAAAGGCTGCGCTTCCCTAAGTGACTCCGTGCGTCCGACGAGTCTGCCCCTGCCCCCCGGCCCCGCGCCCGCGGGGCACAGCAGCAGGATGCACTCAGTAGATTTCTTCTCAACTCCCAGAGTTTCGGAACCATCCGCCCCCACCAGCCGGTGTCGGGAGTAAGGGGGGGTCGCAGCTCGCCCTCACTTCCAACAGCGCTAACGGAAACCCTGCTTTAAATTAAAAAATAAGCCAGCATACATAGTAGAAAATTTCTCTTAAAAATTTCACAATCTGTAAATGTATATATTTTTTTTTTTTTTCTTTTAAACATAAAAGTTTACAATATACGGTAAAACAAAGGCTCAGGAAAAATAATTTCAAAAAAAAGAAACCTGAAGTTTTGAATTAAAGCTGAAGACATTTTTAAAACCCTGTAGTTTGAACCAGTGACATTTTCTTTATTTGTGCTGATGGGTTAGAGAAAGGAAAATATTTAAAAACTGCAGTCCAAACACCCACAGCTTTGCCTTCAGAAGCCATCTTCCCCCACCCTCCCCCCCCT